CATCGATGATATGAAACCAAAGCTTGCAGAGCTGAAGCTTTGTGATCGCTCGACTTTGATATCGTCTGGGCGCCGGATTTCTCGGCGGCGTTTATTGTCCATTCCAATACAATGTGACCGCTGAGAGGTTCACTCATTGTAAGCTTGATCTTGACGTGACATGTCTGAAGTCACTTTTGTGTCTCGTTTCCAGGGTCATGTCCAAGAGGTCAAATACTTTCCTCCTCAGCGTTCCTTGCTCAGTAGCATATTTGCATTATGCTATTTCACATGTACATGATGTACTCAAGCTACCGCTTGTGTATGTGTGTTTCGTGTTTTAACAGATCATTACAATCAAACCTGCGAGAATCGGACCTTTGTGCAAACCATTGATGATATGACTATCATCATCAGAGGCTCCACCTCGGTGAACCAGGCACCAGCAATAGACCTCCATGTGCCTGCCTCCCTGAGCAGGCTTTTATGTTTTTTTCGAGGCGTAACCGAATTACGGCTTTTTTCGGATCTCTCTCCAGAGCACTCCATGTGCACAGCACTCTGTGAAGGTGGCCTTGGCTCCGTTGGAGTCGAGAGTAGCAGATCAGGAGCATCATGCTAAGCGCCGCGAGATCGGTGAAGCCCGCGGCGCCCGCGTACGTGACGTCACCTGCCAGCCAGTGCCGGCCCCCAGGGGCCGTGCGCACCAAAGACAAACATTGATGCTCCGGCCGAGCCTTTACCACACCACTGAACTCGGAAACTTCCGTCATGGGCGCTCCGGCAAATCGTGAATGGTGTTTCAAGATGGCGCAACCCCATCATGGACGTCCTCAAGAGCCATCATGAGCCACTGCAGATGGCATGCACGATGAAACGGTCTCTTCTGTAGCACAACTATTTTCAAATGGTGTGCCACCAAAGATGAATTTATAAGTAAGCGTGAATTCCGGCTGTTCACATGGGCTGAACTAAATGTTCGGAAATGATCTCTGATTTGAGCGATTGGGCCCGAACGCATGTTCACGCTCGCTACTCGCCACATATTCGTGCATGTACTCAATAAGGCTGGCATACGCACTGTCCCGCACTCATGCCAAGCTGTTGGCAAATGACGGCAGGCGAGGCTCCGTTAGATGGCTGACGCGTGGCCGGGCGGCCGCCATCAGATCCTCCACTCATAGAAAACTTTATCTGTTAAACTATAAACCAAAAAGCTTCATTATATTTCAATATTGAAATATATTCAAAGGGGTTTTCTGGTGATTTGAACCCCACGTCCGGGGATGGGACGCAGGGCGAGACAAACATTGCGGGATGGGAAGGGTACGCAAAGTTTTACGCGTACTGAGTGAGCAGAATCACCACTTCCAAACTGCAACAAGCCGAAGCGGTGAGAATACAGACGTCCGCCCCACGGTGGTGACGCCTGCGCTGGTATACTGCACCGGGGGACAGCTGCCACTGGCGGAACAGCGTCGTGCCGCGGCTCGCCCAACACTCTTCCGTGTCGGTAACGCTCTCCGTGTAGCCTTGTATGTGGAACACGGAAGAAACCAGGACGTAGCAGCGGGCATACAGGTGTGCTGTATATTGGCTTCTGAATCCGTATACAATTTGCCCATTGGGAGGTCTGACGAGCGTTTATTTGCCCATGGAATTTCGCATCAATAAGTCAGTGGAATCTTTCACTTGAAAATGCACCACTTCCGCACTGTGTCAGTCAAGTCAATTTATTAAGGAATTTACAATGTGAAGCATTACACAGAGAGCCAAAACATAATGAAAAGATATTTAAAAAGTATCGTTAAAAATCGTAACACACCGTACGGTATAACATTTCTCAGCACAGCCGAGCTTGCTGAAGCATTGATGCATTGTCCAAGAGTTAGTGATAGCCTGCAGCAGACAGTCCAGGGCAGGAGAGCAAGCAAAGGGAAGGGGCACAGGGGGAAGTGCGCCCCCTGAATCGATAAGGGCCTATATGTCGGTCAGACACCATCAGTAACCCACAGTCGGCTCCGTGCCGGCCTGGGCCTGAGGGCCCGTTTTCCAGGCAGGTAGAAAGCCGGAGCCAGCGATTTACACGCGCACACGGGGACGAGCCTCCAAATAACATCGCGCTTGCGTTGGTCGGGGCCCTCCGACAATGAAAGAAAACATGAGAACTTATGATGACTGTTGACCTTGAGACAATGGAAGCGTCCTATGCCAGTGAGGATTCTCAGTAGCGAACGCTGGGCCATCCAACCCTCCAGGGCCCGTTAAGCCGGCGGGAGTCTATGTGGTAGTTAGTGGACCATCTGCAGCGATCAGGGGTGTTGTTGCACCAGTGAGGGTTCCTGCGTCGATCCGGGGTCAACTGCGCGGGTCAGAAGGCCTCCCGCGTCAGGGAGAGGACAAATTTGATATGATGCATCCCTCTAAAGACCTCCGTATTGGCCAGGGGGTTCCGTCCCGTGTCGCCAGAATGGCAGCCGGAGGACATCCTGCGGTGGGACGGGTTGGCCTCTCAGTCCTTGATCGGGAACAATAATGAGCCGCTAGTGCTTACACACTTTACACCCTTTCTCGGAAACAAATACTGGGCTTATAAGTGTTTAACTGAGGGGCAAAAACGAGTTCAAAAACGAACAACGTCATCCCAGTGTTTGTCTGAGAACGTTTAATCTTTTACAGAATCGACTTGTGAAACAAGCTACATCAAAAGGTTTGAGCCTGTGCGGCCGCAATCTCGTGAGAAAGTGCGGCGATGGCCTGGGTAGCAGCTTCTATAAAACCGAACACCGTTGGCCACTGCAAGTAACATCAGGCGGCGGGAGTCGTGCGAGCGAGAATGACCGCCGTAAAATGATGGTTCCGAATGTCTTTCAACATGAACTCGCAATTTTTAAAGATCAGTCTGAGCGCATCGTTTTTGCAACTTTAAGGTTGTTCTCTGGACAGAGTAACGGTAACAGCAACATGAAGAATAGAAATGTTATCTTCACTCTTCCAGCTCCACCACCGGATTCCAGCACTACTTCGCGGGGCTGTAAAGGCCAGTCCGCTCCTATCATCAATCTAAAAATCGCACAGGTGAAAGATGTGCCCGGACTACCTTATAAACGTACGATTTGATGTCATAAAGCGTTTAAGGATACGTCTTTTGAATGCGTCATCATTCTCGTCCACCCGGCGGCCGCGGTTCTGTGTTAACCGCGGGGCCGACGCTGCACAACCCATGGAGGCTGCAATGCCTGGCGTCGGTGTTTTTGTTGCTAAGATTTGGAAGCGCGCATGCTTAAAACCACGTGACGTAATTTGTATCACTTATTGATTCTGAACGAATGTTGATAATTTCCAGACAAACATGCTTTAGCAATGCTGCCACAAATTGTTGACCCATTCCGATCTATATCCCCGGGGTCCTTCGTACATTTGAACAGCCCAGATACAAATTCTGATAAAGCGTCTAAGTTTTTCAGTTTAAAAGTGTCCAGTTGACCATCGTAAAATGAAGAGCATCGGTTATCTATTTCGTGCAGTCCTCTGAGACATACTTTTTCAGTTTATTGACTAGAAAATCAGGCATCGCGCTTCGTTAACAAATGGACTTATATCCCGCAATTTTTTAACGGGGCGCTTTATTATAAGAAGGGCCTTAGTCAACTCTGTGCTCCCACCCCCCCCCCCCCTTCTTTGCCAACGCTTTTGCTGGGCGCCTAGCTCCATGGTGAGGCTGCGCGCGGAATGAACTCAGGCGGAGAGACAATGGCAGACGAAGAGCTGGCAGCTGTAGCATGCCTGCCGCCGCCGCCTGTTGCGCTGTGACGCAGCAGCACGTGTGGTGAACAACGAGCGGAATACCTCAGGAGCACGCCGATCGCTCAGAGCCCTGAACTTTCCGATGCTGGCGCGATGGCTGACAAGGTCACGCAAGCCGCACCAATCCAAGCAGGTCGACGGTCAGTGAGATACGACCATAAACACGCGCCCCCGAGACAGGCTCGGCCCCGAAGTTCGCCATTTGCTGCAGCCTGTGCATATTACACGCAGCAGCCCTACCCCAGACTGAGAGGCAATACAGCGCGTTTAGAAAACGTCGCGTTATACTGGGATCATCGAGCCGTGGACCTGACCTGGTGTCTAGAGCTGTGCAAACAGAAAGCGTGGAATTACACTTTTCGGGTCTGTTGGACGTGTGCTCTTCCTATGAAAGGAAAAAGGTTGTTAAGATGCTGAGAGTATTTGGCCGACTGGGGATAGCTGGGGGACACCGTGGAACAGCGGCAAATATAGGGAACCACCTCTCACCACCTGCCGCCGGTCAGCCAAGTAGATCTCGAACCATCCGGGGTCGATTCCGTATCATTTTAACTTGGTCAGGACACGATGGTTAACCCTGCTAAAGGCGCGACTTGAGTCAATTCACGCAACGGCAACAACGTCTTTACCGTCCATTCGGTGCGCGATCCACTGGACAGCGTCGACCACGGTGTCTTCCGTCAAATGGTTTTGCCGGTGTGAGTACTGTGATTGCGCGAGCATACTGGATGCGGTGAGATATGAGGACAGTTCAGAGCACACAGTTTTTTCCACAAAGTTTGGATACCACCGACAAGATGGAGGTGGGTCGAAAATTACTGGGCTCATCGCGACATCCTCTTTTACGAAGGGGAGCGACGGTCGCAAGCTTCCTTAAGCAGTGAGGGACACACTCGAGATTATGCATGAATTGGCCATAGCAAATGAGGTCCTGGGACGGGAAAGCACTGGCGAATGATATGCATCGGTATGTTCTCACGCCCAACTGCCCTTGAGGAGAATATCTTTTTTGATGTATAAAAGCTATCCATTTAGTTGTGTACTGCAATTACAAACAGTCCATAGCCTGAAAAGTGTTCACGCGGCACAGACTTCGGCGGCCGTGATTTGAGACCGGTATCAGCAGCGAGCGTTCCGTTCGCGTCTACCTCAGTGCCCCCCCACTATCCGCCGGGGAACGAGCCGCGAGGCTGACCGGCAAGCATTTTTGGCAGGTCGCGTGACGCACGTGGTGGGCGTGGCCGGCCGCCGGGTGGACCTGCCCTGTGACACCACCACCGTCGACCCGGAGGACCGGGCGGTGCTGGTGCTCTGGTACAAGAACAGCCAGGGCAAGCCCACGTACAGGTGAGGCAGCCGCCGCTGACCGCGCGCTTCTTCAGGAGGCGGGGAGGTCCGTGCGGACACAGCTATATTGGCAGGGAACGGACTCACAGTGAACGTAGCTAGCGTATTAACAATGTTCCCGATCCACATACTCTTCGTTTTTGTCATCACAGCAAGCGCATTCAAAGCTCTGAATCGTGACGGTTGGCCGCTCATGCCATTACAAAGGTTTTCTGCTGCCTATAGGTACTTCGTGATAGTGGGATTTGCCTTTTCCGACATGGCACTGTCAGTTGTCAACTGCTCGCCGTCTGCTGTCCGCTGTCCACTGTTGCTGTTCACCGTTTGCTGTCTGCTGTCTGCTGTCTGCTGTTTTCTGTCCGCTGTCCGCTGTCCGCTGTTGCTGTTTACCGTCTGCCGTGTGCTGTCTGCGGTCAGCTGTTGATGTTGATGTTCACCGGTTGATGTCTGCTGTAGCTGTCCGCTGTTGCAGTTCACCATCTGCCGTGCGCTGTTTGCCGTGCGCTGTTGTTCACCGTGCAACAGCGGTGAACTCTGTCCACTGTCCGCTGTCCTAGCTGAGCCGCCACCGCCGCCGTCTGCCGCAGTTTCGACGCTCGCGGAGGCCTGTCGTTTTCGGGGCAGTCGGCCGGGTCGGACTCGCGCGCCACCTTCGTCAGCCGGGCCCGGCCACCGGCGCTGCGGCTGGCGGCGGTGCAGCCCGCGGACGCCGCCCTGTACCGCTGCAGGGTCGACTTCACCTTCAGTCCGACCCGCAACCAGCGGGTCAACCTCACCGTCATCAGTGAGTGCTTCACCTCCCGATTTTGTGCCCGCTGGGCGCAGGCCTACGCCAGCGAGGTCGCGTGTGCCCGAACTCTCCAGGTCGGGGAGTGAAATCAAGCCTGGGATGTCGTGGAACAGCAGCAGCGGACGAACCGGCCGTTTTGTTGATGCTCACTGTCCAGCGTCAGTAGCCGTGTAAGTGTGAGGTCAGCGTGAGTGTTGTACAAGGGTTGTGATACGGCATCGATTTTACAACTGTGCTCTGTAAATTAGCAAGCAAAACACACTTTCATTCACCGGGGCCAGCGGCTGGACATTTATTGGACTACACACGAACATAGCGGAACTGTTGACATGAATTATGTTCAGGAATTATGTTAAGCGGCACCATAGATTACTGTCGGTAGCAGACCCCCTCAGGTGTTGCCAGATCATCCTCTGCGAATGGATTGGTCGCACCAGGCTCCGCTGGCGGCAATGGATGGGTCGCGCTCGGGTATTGGCCTGAAATTGTACTGTTGCCTGAGCACCGCGGGTTTCTACACATGTAATGAGCACCAGCGAAGTGTAATGTGTACCACGCTGTGAAACTCCTCGATTCAGTGATACAAAGATTTTGATCTGTGATGAAACAGGTAGAGGTGGGAGACATGGTAATTAGCTAATTATGTTACGGCTTTGTGGTGTCTGTTGACACGACTGCAAGTGCTTCATGTGCGCCAATTTTGCTAGCATTTCTTTTGCATCAGAAGCGACTGCAGGTATTTGCATATACAGTAGCATGTATACACGGTAGCCTGAATATCGCATGTCAAAGCTACTGTGTGCTGGTGTTGGCGTGTCACTGAACGCTGCTGCCCGGCAGTGCCGCCCGACCGACCGGTGATCCTCTACAATGGTCGTCCGGTGTCGGGCCTGGTGGGGCCGCTGCAAGAGGGAGACCCGCTGGAGCTGACGTGCCTCTCTCGTGGAGGTGAGCTGGCCGCTGATGCTCAGCCGTCTCTTCAAGAGCACCAACAATACGCAGCACAATTTTCCGCGCGACGACGGCTGAATGAGCGCGCTGGCGTGGCTATTTGCCGATGGGGCACACGGCTTCTCTCCTCGGCAACTTCATGCGTAACGTAGCAATTACAGGCTCCCCCATTTACCCGTCTTCTGTTGGTCGAAATGACCCATGACGCGGGCACGTCCGACTAATGGCTGCCCGCGCCACCTTATTGTCGGTCATTTCTTACCATTGCCGGACATTAAGCCAATAACATCCTTCGACATGGACAGTCAGCAGTCCCATTTGGACTCGGCCCGACTGCTCACAGCCCTCTGTCCGGTCTGTTACTCTCTGACGTGACGCTCTGATCCCCACAACACGCAGAACCGTCCGCCAACGTCGCCAAATGGAACACCGACATCAAATTACGGGCAACGACCGCGCCGACTGCGTAAAACGGACTGGTGTGCCGTGCAGCGGCTCTCCACACCCCGCTAAGTGTCGGGCCGCTTTTATCAAACCGCCTGGAGCCGCTGGAACCGCTGAGTGCCCCGAGTAGTGTATGTGGAAGGCGTCGTCCCGCTGCGCGCCGCCGCTCCCGGTGTGGGGGCAGCCAGAGGGGAGGGTAGGGGGGAGGGAAGACCGAAAGTGGGGCCTGAGACTGGTGGGGGCGACGATCATCTGCGATCGCGTCGAAGTACGCGTTACTTGTCAGCCGGTTGTCGCTATGAAAAAGTCAGGGTCATTACCAGGCTATCGTCAGAAACGGAATTGGGCATGCCAAGTGACATGCTTTGAACAACTGCCAATGTTGCCACTTTGCGCTCTGTTATTGATCATAATGGTATGGACAAACAGTCTCAAAATGTTCGCTGCCAAACAATTAAGATGCCAAGTTAATCGCAATATTTCACGAAAAGTAGACGTTAAACGTCCGTTTGGTCCTATAGCACACGCTTCATGAAGCAGTTCCCGGGGCTTCTTGCGATCTCAGCTCACGAGCGATCGGGTAGAGTTGTTCGGTTGATTTAGGGGGTTTTGACTTGGGAGGCTACATACCGGTGATCCCGGCTACTGGAGCATCGTTATAGACAGCTCATGGAGTGGAACATCAATCCAGACATATCTGGGAGATCAGTGACGACAGCAGGCGATGGCAGCTCCCCTCAATACACGGCGTCGGAGTATTGAAACACCAGCCGCACTGAGCGTTATGACCAGCGCCATCAGGTCCGCCGTCAATCTCCGCTAGACGTGCGACCGTGTTCTAAGGACACTCTTGACCGCAGAACTACACACGAAACCGCACGCCACATGACGTCACGTGACGTCACGTGACGTCGATCGGTGGTGACGTGTGACGCTGGTGGTGCGAGCGTCACTCGTCACGTCACACTGACGTCACCCGCCGGTGACGTCAGCAGTCGTGGTCGCGCCGGCGTGAACACCGTCCCAGCCCATCCCTTATCTATGCTCCGTCTTACATCTCCCCCACCCGCCCCCCGGTCGCCGCCCGTCTGTCCGACGCCCTTCTGCGGGCGGGAGATGACCCATCGTGCGACCCACCAAAATTAGCCGCCGCGTCAAGCACGGCCGTGTCAAAGGTCACCGTTCGGTGGCGTTCTCCGGGGTCAGCCGCCAACGGCCGGTGCGTTGCAAGTTTCTGAAGGCCGTCGCCGGCCGCGCCTGCGACCGCAGAATTATTCATCCGGCGACGACCCCTGGGAGCGGCCGTCGTAATTCGCACCGACGCCGGCCGAGCTCGGGGCGTGGCCATGATCGGGCTGCGGTCGGCCCGGTGTCTGACGGCGGCCGCGTGGGCTCCGAGCTCGGGGCGTGGCCATGATCGGGCTGTGGTCGGCCCGGTGTCTGACGGTGGCCGCGTGGGCTCCGAGCTCGGGGCGTGGTCATGATCGGGCTGTGGTCGGCTCGGTGTCTGGCGGCGGCCGCGTGGGCTCCGAGCTCGGGGCGTGGCCATGATCGGGCTGCGGTCGCCCCGGTGTCTGGCGGCGGCCGCGTGGGCTCCGAGCTCGGGGCGTGGTCATGATCGGGCTGCGGTCGCCCCGGTGTCTGGCGACGGCCGCGTGGGCTCCGAGCTCGGAGCGTGGTCATGATCGGGCTGTGGTCGGCCCGGTGTCTGGCGACGGCCGCGTGGGCTCCGAGCTCGGAGCGTGGCCATGATCGGACTGCGGTCGGCCCGGTGTCTGGCGACGGCCGCGTGGGCTCCGAGCTCGGGGCGTGGTCATGATCGGACTGCGGTCGGCCCGGTGTCTGGCGACGGCCGCGTGGGCTCCGAGCTCGGAGCGTGGCCATGATCGGACTGCGGTCGGCCCGGTGTCTGGCGACGGCCGCGTGGGCTCCGAGCTCGGGGCGTGGTCATGATCGGGCTGTGGTCGGCCCGGTGTCTGGCGACGGCCGCGTGGGCTCCGAGCTCGGGGCGTGGCCATGATCGGGCTGCGGTCGGCCCGGTGTCTGGCGACGGCCGCGTGGGCTCAGAGTCGAGGGTGTGCTGGTTTTGCGTTGATTGTGTGCGCGGTGAGGCCTAGATGGTGCTTGTGTTACGATGAAGTCGGCGTTGGGGTGATGGCGGCGTTAATGGCGTTTTGTCGCCCGGTTTACGGATGTATTCTGGAGATATGTTGGTCACGCAGTACTATTTGCTGAATTCCGTCCTTACCACCACTGCAGGGCAATTTCAAACCAGCTGGCAGGTTTTATCCAAATATTTCAAAGTACCGCACACGTGTCTCCACCCCAGCGTAGCCCTCTTGGTCTATTGTCCGCAGGCCGTCACTGACTAGTTACACCAGCACTGCTCCTGGCAACCGGACCTCGCACGCGTGCCGCACAGCGACCACGAGTCCATTGTCTGCTTAAGTGAGTTGCGGGAGCGAAGGACGGTTTGCGTGTTGCTCATGATAACGTTAACGTGCCTGTTTGCAGGTCGCCCGGAGCCACGGGTCACGTGGTCCCGTGACGACCTCCTATTGGACGACTCGGACGGACCGGACGGGTCAGGCCAGGTCATCAACGTGCTGCGACTGGCTCCTCTGGGTCGCGAGGACCTGCACACCCGGCTGGTCTGCTCGGCGACCAATAACAACATCAGCCGACCGGTCACCACCCAGGTCGTCCTCGACATGTACTGTGAGTGGTCCGGCCAATGATGACGTCACATATCGACATGTACTGTGAGTGGTCCGGCCCGTAATGACGTCACATATCGACATTTACTGAGTGGTCAGGCCCGTAATGACGTAACATATCAGCATGTACTGTGAGTGGTCCGGCTCTTGATGACGTCACACATCGGAAAGGGCACTATGTGGCGGCACGTCACGAAAATCCCGGACGTCATCCGGTATGTTTATTCGCTGAGACGAGCCACACATGGGGGATGCATTTTGTCTTAAAGAGGCCACGGACCATGAAGCCACGGTCAAGCTGCTACGACATCACTGAAATGAAGTGTTGAAGAGACATCGACGAGAGCAATGGTGCGTCACCAAACGTTGTCGTCTTAACTTTATGATGATGATAACGCTCACTTGCACGTCTTTTGGTCCTGAGACGAACACGGACTATCCCCATTAGGCAGCGTTTGACTGCGTGATTGCTGGTACATTCTGAAATGATATAACAACCATCATGTTTGAAAGCAGAGGCCATCACATATCATGTCGAAATAACAATACCATACATCACACGTTGACGACATAAGCTTAGGTTAGACAATTGTTATGGCGTAAACCATAGCTAGTCATACATTTGGAACATCGCCCTTTCGGACAGCCCCTGCTGCTCTACGTCACATTGACATAACGTACGCACTGTGAGTCGTTAAAGACAACATAAGCATGAAGCACCACACCTTCCGGCGCCAAGGCAAAAATAAGTGTCCGTGTTATGAGTCAACGTTGACGACTTTTTGCCCACCACATGTTTGATGGCGTCTCAGCGTGATAACAGGATTACACAAAGGGTATCTTCGAACTGTAAGCCGCGTCCGCCGGTAAGTCACCGGACATCGCCGTCACCAGCCGGTCTGGGCTCAGTGGTAACAGCGCCTGTCAGCCACGTCCGTCGGCTAGTCACCGGACATCGCCGTCACCAGCCGGTCTGGGCTCAGTGGTAACAGCGCCTGTAAGCCGCATGCGTCGGTTAGTCACCGGACGACGCTGCCACCAGCCGGCCTGGGCTCAGTGGTAACAGCGCCTGTAAGCCCCGTCCGTCGGTCAGTCACCGGACGTCGCTGTCACTAGCCGGCTTGGGCTCAGTGGTAACAACGCCTGCAAGCCGCGTCCGTCGGTTAGTCACCGGATGTCACCGCCACCAGCCGGCCTGGGCTCAGTGGTAACAGCGCCTGTAAGCCACGTTCGTCGGTTAGTCACCGGACGTCGCTGTCACCAGCCGGCCTGGGCTCAGTGGTAACAGCGCCTGTAAGCCACGCCCGTCGGTTAGTCACCGGACGACGCCGTCACCAGCCGGTCCGGGCTCAGTGGTAACAGCGCCTGTAAGCCACGTTCGTCGGTTAGTCACCGGACGTCGCTGTCACCAGCCGGTCTGGGCTCAGTGGTAACAGCGCCTGTAAGCCACGTCCGTCGGTTAGTCACCGGACGACGCCGTCACCGGCCGGCCCGGGTTTGCCTGTAACCGCGCCTGCTCATTGGTAGGCAGCGCCACTGCGTCGGCGGCCGATTCCCGACGGCGCGCCCGCCGCCGCAGCGCCGCTCCAGCGCGACCGGCCGGCGTCGATCGCCGGTCGTGATTTGGCAGTCGCGTCCCGCATTGTTATTGCAGTTGAGGCGGGCGGTCGTTTGTTCTCCTGTGACCGCATAGTTTGGCGCACAAACACGCGACGCCGGAATTAGCGCGTCACGGCCGCGGCCGCGCCCAAATGAGCGTAACACGTGCAGTGAGAAGCGAGAGTCGTGACGCGTCGGTGCGGAGCTGCTAGCCGACGGGGCACGATTACCGGACAAAGTTTTGCTGCGAAGTGAGTCGTGGTGAAATGCTCTAGAGTCACGATCATCAGGGATTCGTGTGACTGCGGGTAAACAATGCTCGCTTTAAGTAGCTATGAGCTTTTGGGTGGTGTGCTTTGCCCCTCGCGCTGAGTCACTGTTTTTCAAGCTTGGTGTGTTGATGCTTGCCGGTATTTGTTTACGGTTCCGTTGAATCGACCTGTGAAGAGTCGCGGGCACGGCTCAGCGGAACACACGTGCGACGCTATGGGTGGCGGGCTGGCGCGCGAGGAATTGCGTCGCCTTACCGGCTCTTCGAATACTCAGGTCACTGAAGCTGTGTCAGGGTGTTGTGCAGGGCAGAGGACGCTGACCGCGTGCACAGCTGGGATCGTTCACTATTATATATATATATATATATATATATATATATATATATATATATATATATATATACTCAAGTGGAAAGAACAAGCAAAGCAAACCGTCGAATTCCGTGCTTTTCCCTCACCATGTTGCGCAGAAGAGATCCCACATAGCTGGAGAGTGCTGAGGAAAGTTGGTGTGGCAAAGCTTCCGAAATGAGCGTCTTTCAACGGCGAAATGTTAAAATGACGCTAATTGCAACGAAAGTTGGCGTTGCCACCGTCAAACCAGTCGCAGCATAATCTGTTCTGTTCGGTACTCGCTGTTCACCGATGCTCTCTACCACCCTGCGAGGACACCCTGTCTGACTGTCCTCGCCGCGTTGTTCACACCGCGCCGTCGGCCGCTCGGCACCTGACCGGCCGGCGGCGGTGACCGACAGTGATCCCCGACCGGCCGGCGGCGGTGACCGACAGTGACCCCCGACCGGTCGGCGGTGGTGACCGACAGCGGCCGCTGACCGGCCGGCGGCGGTGACCGACAGTGATCCCCGACCGGCCGGCGGCGGTGACCGACAATGACTCCCGACCGGCCGGCGGCGGTGACCGACAGTGACCCCCGACCGGCCGGCGGTGGTGACCGACAGTGACCCCGACCGGCCGGCGGCGGTGACCGACAGCGGCCCCTGACCGGCCGGCGGCGGTGACCGACAGTGACCCCCGACCGGCCGGCGGCGGTGACCGACAGCGGCCGCTGACCGGTCGGCAGTGATGACCGACAGCGGTCTCTGACCGGCCGGCGGTGATGACCGACAGCGGTTTCTGACCGGCCGGCGGTGATGACCGACAGTGGCCGCTGACCGGCCGGCGGCGGTGACCGACAGCGGCCGCTGGCCGGCCGGCGGCGGTGACCGACAGCGGTCGGCCTTGACCGACGCCCGACGCTGTTCCAGTTCGGCCCCTGAGCGTCACCATTCTGGGCTCGGCCCGCGCGGCCACGCTGGCCGGCCAGTCGTACGAGCTGGTGTGCCAGGCGTACGGCTCGCGGCCGCCGGCTAACCTCTCCTGGTGGATGGACGGCGCCGCGCTGGACGGCGGTCGGACGGTGAGCGGGCCACGGGGCCGACCTGCACGCGCCAGTGGTGTCGTCGCCCAGAGGCTGGTTATTGCTGCTCATGCCATAACTGGGGCCATTTGTACTGCTGGGTGTTTGCTCAGTGCGTATTACTGACGCCCGCAATTTTGCTCATAGTCTTAAGAGTACAGTGTTTTTGGAGCTAAGTAGAAGAGTCTGATACGCACCATACATATTTATTGACGTAACGTTGTATTTTCCTTTGTTTGCTTTTCGTTTTCCATCAATCTCTTCTAGATTTGCAACAGACCAATTTTCCAAGAATAATTTCCATTGTGCTTGCCCTCTGAGCTGCATTATGAGATAATTATGTTTGTAATAAATGGGCTAGGGGAGTGTGGGTGTAAATCCTGCCTGATTTAGTTTTACATTGCTCAGCCAGCGCTTCATAAACATACTTAGTTTAAACAATATCCAGCGTGTCTCACATGCTGGCACAAAAGAGAGTTGGTTGAAATTGATAATTTAAAAAATGATTGCTTTCAAAACTTGCATGGTGTTGCGGTCGCAGTTCATAAACTGGCTGTTGTTTCCTGGCGTGAAACACATAGTTTTGCAGGGCGATGTCGAAATACCTCCGCACATTGTCATCCACTCGAATTTTGTCGCGGTACTTAATAGGAAGTCCATCCCGTGCGGTTCAATGGATTCACAGCAGACTTTGCAAAACAACAATCGAGGATTACTTGTCGAATCGGTGATTGCTTTGTTTGATATTGGAATGATTCCCGACTCGCGTTGCCACGTTGGAAACTGTTAAGCCGGATTCGAGTAGTTGACTTATAAACATCAAGCTGTTCCTGTCCCTCTGCCACTTGGGCGTCAGCTCGTTCTAGGCTTATGCGATATCAACCGTGGTTCGTCCTATTGCATTTGAAGGGAAAGATCGAAACGAAAATCGAGCCATCCCTCAAATAAGTAGGTCGGAGGATCAATTAAACCGGTCATTCGTTCTTGGACGCGCGCGCTTTGGTGACTTGACTTTGCCGGACAAAACATCGTCAATATTATTGTTGCGTTATGGCCATTGACACCTTCAGAATGCATAATCGGTACATGGTATGCCTATTGATTCACTCCCTAGCTCTTGGTGCATGACATGTCTACGTATCCCTCTCTTTCGGCAGGAGTCCGGACTGGGCAACATCACCAGCAGCACGCTGCCCTTCAAGCCGCGCCCCACCGACAACGGCAGGGAGATCACGTGCAGGGCGGAGAACAGCTTAGTCTCCGGCGGTACGATCGAGGATAAGAGGCTGCTCAACGTCAGGTGTAAGTAGAGAACGACCGCCGGCTTACGTGGTCTGACGTCCTCTGCTTACAAGGTAGACGTTGTGGCGATGCGTGCCTACACATTATGCAGCGAGGGGACATATCTCAATCACATTATCTACGCATTATTCACCACGGCACATATCGTGTAATGCTGCGAGCTGGCATCATACGATAGGTGCCAACACACATGATAGCGATTGCAATGTGTTGCCAATATCATAAAATTGCAACGACGCCCACATGTTTCATTTCACACTCAGTTTACCGCACAAATTGTTGCTAAAATGGTGTTGGGATAGAGTTTCCTGTCAAACACGCTTTACTGTGCGGCACTAACGCCATTGATCAATGAACATTGCCCGATTATCTATGGACACCGATCAATGATCATTATCAGAAACGCGTCTTCAATCAATGTTCCCGGATCCGGAGCCTTTCATCAAGTGCTTTGGTGACATTTGTAATCTATGGATGGGATCCGTGCATGTTACCTAAATGTGCTGGAAAGTATCCACTGCTACGGAGGGACGATGCTGTATGTCTTGCAGTATTCACAGAATTATGCGTAATGTCGGTTTCCTTAAGCTGATATAGCGTGACAAAGTAGAAATGACGACTAGATCCGGAATCAATAGAGCTGGTTTAGCTGTCGCTACCACCTACAGCGATATGCCGGCAATGTCCAGCTGTGGTTTACTCTCTAGCTGGATAGAACACTATCACAGTGTTATTTGCATGGTCTGTCTTCCGAATCGATGCCTTTATGTGGCTCATTTCAGACATTTGCAAGCTGTTAGCTCATCTCTGTTAACTGCGAAAAAGGTGGTAACGATTCGCCAATCTCCTCCTGGTAACATGCGTCTACACCTGAAGCACGATTCCACACCCCAAAACTATGGTCTTGTAGACCCTCGATTTCATAACGATTCCAAGTGTGCTACCCACGCCCGCAGCTGGCGCCGTGGTGGTTTTGGAGTGTGTTGGATAGCCAGGACGCTGCCGCTCCCGGTTTAGACACTAGACAGCCCCCTCCTCTCCCCGGAAGCTCCCTTTTGGAGCCTTCCCGGTCACCGCCGCAGAGCCGCGCGCTCACCCATCTGGGCCCCGAGGCATTGTAACGAGACATATCCATCTCCATCTTGCCATGCGCGCCTCCGGCGACGGTGGCCGGGCCGGCGCCGCGTTCGCGCCATTACTCCGATTGGGCGCGAGACCGGTCCGGGCTCAGGAGCGCGCCGCGCCCCCGAGTGCGATCGCTCATCTCAGCCCCTCGGCGACCGTTTGTCCCGCCTGTTTGCATACTGGAAACTTTATAATGGCCGTCTCGCAGGGGTCGGCTTTTTGTGTGGGTGGGCGCTGAAGCACGGAACTTTCTATGTAGATGCTATTTTCTGCGAGGCAGCGCTAAATGCGGCAGTTTATGGACGGTATGGTGTTTTACATGCTGACTGCTTCGAAATTTATCGATCTCTAGGATGTTCCTGACCCGGTCGCAAACTTACTCTTGTTTGCCAATCAGCTTACAAGCGAGAGGAGTAACGGTACGAGGAGTGTGCCTGGAGGTCTCAGCTGGTTCCACCGGATGTGTTCTACTTGAATTGTACTGTGTGCAGTAAAAGAACACAAAAAACGCGCTCAAAAGTTACCAGGCACAGCCTCCTGCGACCCCTGTGATTGTTGCGCTTTTTTCGGCGGGGAGCAATAGGCATTTTCTTTCGCATTGTCTGCAAGTGAATAATTAATGAGCACGTGAAACGGTCCCAGATACGTCAAACACATTCTAGAACACACTGTATTTTCTTGATTTCTGCGAGAGAGGGTGAGGATACTCTGTCGATGGCCGTTGAGCTTCGATGTGACCACAAAAGAAGAAAAACAAGGATTGTTGACATCCGAATGGCTTCCCAAAAGTGGAGGGAAGGTGAGGCAGTCCCGATCTTTAAAATAGGCAACTGAAAGTCCCCAGCGAGCTGTTGCCCAGTGGGCTTTACTGCTGTTTCCTCCAATGCGCTTGAATTTTTGTCAAAGACGCACTAATGAAACACTTAACGGAGATCGGACTCCTTCATGTAGCCCAACAAAGATTCCTCCCGAAGCGTTTCTGTAACACCCAGCTATTAGAAGTCATGACAGATTGAAGCTCCGCGGTTGGGACGGGGTGCCGGTGGACGTAGCGTACCTCAACTTCTATAAAGCATTCGACTCTCTACCCCAGAACCGACTGCTCTCTAAGCTCCATGCGTACGGTACGCGAGGCAACTTGCTGCGTTAGATCAGGGCCTTCCTAACTCACAGGAGGCAGAGAGTACGAGTCCTGGGCTGGAGGTCGGATTCGGTCGATGTCATCAGCGGCATCCCACAAGGGTCAGTTTTGGGACCAACGCTCTTCATCGCTTTCGTGAACGGCCCACCTGATCAAGTGCAAAGCGCGGTCAAGATGTTGGCGGATGACATAAAGGTGTGCTGTCGCGTTCCGAGGCCCCTGACTGCGTCTCCTCTTTATGTCGACCTTGGTGGAGGAGTGGCTGCTTTATTCGATCTATCAAAGTGCAAAGTAATAGACATCGGCACCTGCGGCTGGTCAGTCTAGATGGCTGGTCAGATATGCTTCACTGAAAATACATATTCTTTGAGAAAACCTCAACTGCAAAAGCAGGAAGCATTGTCATTGAGAACTCGAGCAAGCTTGTCGAATACCAGCCATGAATATCTAAAGCTGCAATTTTCCAGCAAACGTTCAGCGCATTTTCTCGCTGGTGTTGGGGCTGATTGGGTACACTCAGCATGTGTTTGGCACTCAGTCAATAGCACCACTTGAAACCTCGGTCGCTATTCAGACCACTCACTGCAGAGCGGCTGTGGCTGCCAGTCTCGAATAAAACGCGTTTTTTTCTGAAAGCGGTTCGTGCCTCACTTTGCGTATTTGACTGCCGAACGCAAAATATCCGACACAGTTGCAGCAGACGTTTACTTGTCGCTACTTTTTTGCCCCCAACATTTCAACAATATGATAACGATTATATTTTTCATCAGGTGGCTGTCGAGAAGCCCATCTGAGGCTGTTTTTCCAAACGGTAGCGCTATCCGCGAACATGCACTGCTGCACACGGTCCAGCGGAGACTGCATCCTCTGACTGGTGGTGGCGCGATGGGTGACGTGGGTGGCCAGAGCGGGTGACGCCGACCGTGCCGTCCCCCTCAGATGCGCCGATCGTGGCCGTGAGACTCGGCTACGCTCTGGACCCGGACGACATCAAGGAGGGTGCCGACGTCTACTTCGAGTGCCTGATCCGGGCCAACCCGGCCGTCTACAGCGTCGTCTGGTCACACGACGTGAGTAGCCGCGGTCCGGCGCAGCGTGTCAGTCTCGTGGTTCTCCGCCTCGCTTTATGATGCAGGCAGGCAGCCTCAATAGGACGTGTAGAGAGAAGTCTTAAAGCTCACCTGCTCCCTAGCGTTCGCGTCGCAGTACTTGGACCTTGTCTTTAGACTATACCCCACGTCGGGTGCGCACTGTGGGGCATGCTAGATGATGTGATCGCAGGCGTCCACGTGGGTATTGCTGGGTCACTTCCTGCGCCAACGCATTCACTTCAGCTCCTCGCACACTTCGACTTCATTCCGCTTCACCTCGCCTCACTTCACTTCGCGGTGAATCACATGTCAGGCGACGTAACCATGAGGCTGGTGAGCTAAACCCAGCAATGCTTTGCCTGTCACTTTAATCCTACGAAATGTTTCCCCTTCGCCCTACGAATGGGGCCTTAGAGCCCCCCCCCCCCCCCCCTGAGATCACGAAAGCTGATAAAATCTACACACCTGTGTAAGGCTATGAGAAAAGCACGAGTGAATATCCATACATTTGACTTGTAATATGTCGTTCTAGGTTCAATACGTGAAGGTAATTATTTCAATGGCCCTTCAGCTGTACCAGGGATTAAATACGCCACATGAGTGAAAACTTGATGAAAAGATATAAGCAAAAGTTTGACCTAGCATGACCTTGAATTTCCGTTCTTTAAAAAACAACCGGGACGCTAGTTTTACATTACAGGGTGTTAAAAATTAGAAAAGGAGTCTAGAAAACCGCTTCGGCATGCCTTTCCCGCGATAAATAGGTTTACTTGCCTTTTCTAAGCGAAATGTCACCAACGCGACGCCGGGGAAAAGGTCATAAGGCACGAACAGTAGGGGTCGAAACCTTAAAATGCTTCTAACACTCTAAAAATGATTCAATGCAGGAGCCCAATATTCCAGCACTGTGCTCTAAACCATTCATAGATTATTCCGGGAAACCGCGGGGGGAGGTCTCGGCCTGCATCGTAGGGCGAGAGTATGTCCTCGCTCTGATGGCGACTGCGAGTCGGCGAGAGTATCTCCTCACCCTGATGGCGACTGCGAGTCGGCGAGAGTATACCCCCGCCCTGACGGAGATTGGGAGTCGGCGAGAGCATGCCTCCGCCCTGACGGGGATTGGGAGTCGATGCAACTCACGCGAAAGGTTTTCTCGAGATATCTCTCCGGCCTGTCGTGCAATCATATCCAAATTTCTGGTAGCCTCTGGGGCATTCATTGCGAATCTTTGACACGATAAACATCTCAATGGCGTTTCTGGTTTCTGAAAAGCGATGGTTTTTTTAGGAATACTGCACGGCAATCCACGCCCGGCGCGGGTGGCGAGCGGCAACGGACGATTCCACCGATCGCGTGCGGAGGCCCGTCGCTATCACTGTGCGCCACAAAACACATGCGGATCCCCGTCGCTATCATTGTACGTCACAAAACACATGCGGATCCCCGTCGCTATCATTGTGCGCCACAAAACACATGCGGATCCCCGTCGCTATCACTATGCGCCACAAAACACATGCGGATCCCCGTCGCTATCATTGTGCGTCACAAAACACATGCAGATCCCCGTCGCTATCATTGTGCGCCACAAAACACATGCAGATCCCCGTCGTTATCATTGTGCGTCACAAAACACATATCGATGTACTAAAAACTAAACGTGGAACACGTGCGCAAGTGTCACACTGCGACGTGGCATGGTTTCATAAATATTGGCACGTGAACCTGAAACGGTTCGATTTTACGAAAAAACGCTTGACCTGGACTAGTTGTGTTAATTAATGACACAGCAAACGGACGTGCATGATTAATCACGCAATTCCGTTGAGACCAATCCACTAACTTTTCCGAGGCTACATCTTTCTAAGTTTGAAAACAACAGGTGGGGATGGGGCGCATCACCCCTCTCCCTCCCCCTATCAGTCCGTTTAATGAAAAACTGCGAATCAGGGCGATGGTAAATTGACTCCAAGCTACTTCCATTCATGAAAGTAACTTGTCTTCTATTGGAGAGAGGCATGTCATCTAGAGTTATGCTTTTGCTCTCTCAGTGAGGGCGGAAATACTCTGAAAACATTCTAGTACACGTTGTTTTATGATACACCTCAAACACCCTAAAAAGCGAGAAGTCTTTGTCCTCTCCGAAAACATGTGATCAGCCAGTCAGTCTTATGAAACCCTGCTCTAGCTTGGCATACTCTTAACATGCCCTTAATGGATAACTAAGAACCCGTCTGTAGCACTCAAATGCCACCAGTCACTGGTCATCTTTCAACTACTTCTCTCCCTTTCACAGAGAATGTAGCGCGGTAAGCGCGTCGTATCCAGCTGTTGTTCCGCTCACGTGATTAGCCAGAGGCAGGGGTGGGGTCCGCTTGGGGTCTCAGCTCGTGGGCAGTACCTTACTCAGCCCCGTCGAGCGGAACGCTCGCTCGAGGCGAGGCGGGAGTGGGAAGTTGGTGGAGGCTGATGCGGCCGCCCCCGTCCAGCGAGATGTGCTTTTGTTAGCGATGGCTCTCAGCGTGGGTGCGACGGCGTGGCTTGGTGCGATAGGCCGGTGGGACAGGTGAAGCAGGATCATCCGAGCATTCATCACCAGATGGCACGGGGATGATCTGAAGAAAAGTGTAACAGCCATTGGTAGGACATACTCTCTTTAGAGAAAGATATGGAAAGACCAATTTAAGTGTTGTGTCTCAAGTTACCATGAAAAACTCGCACCCACACCAGGTTCCTTCAAGGGTAGCGCTGGTCGCGACCTTTGGGTTATTTGCTGGCGCAGTTTTACGTGTCGATGGCTGGCTGTTAAATAAAAACTTTGTAATTGTTCCCCGCGCGCCGACATGTGGCGGTACACATGTGAACCCCGTTTTCGTCTGTGTCGGCAGGAGAGGCCGGTGCGGGCCGAGCCCGCGCGCCGGCGTCAGCGACATGGTCAGCATCAACGAGCGCAGCCTGGTGATCCGCAACCTGAGCCGCCGCTCGGCCGGCGCGTACCGGTGCCGGGCGGCCAACCCGGAGGGCGAGGCTGCTGGCCGGCCCGTCCACCTCAGCGTCAAGTGTGAGTGGGCGGCGGTCGCGGTGGCGGGGGGAGGGGGGGGGGCGATCCGACGTCACGGGCGACGCCGGACGCGGGCCTGACTGTGACGCGGCGACGGCTCTCGGGGGTTCGTCCGCTCGCGCTGATATGTAGCAAGTTACCGACGCGTGCCGGCCGATGTGGAAACAACGCAAACTTCCGACGATCACCCGTCGACCAGAAGTCATTTATGTTGTACGACGGCCTGCCCCAGGGCGTTTGATATTGTTGTAACAGCAGTGTACGGTGAAGCTTGTTTCTGTTCTACAAACAGACATCAAGGCCCTAGCCTCAGTTGTGACAAAAGTGAACCAGGATGGGAGTCGCTAGGGTTTGACTGGAACGTTCGCCTCCTTTTCATAAAAAGGCGGTCAGAATGTAGCCTCAGTTGTACGAGTCAGCCCCAGAAGGCTTGCCTCTGTTGTATCAGCACTCTGTTGGCGCGGTCGTCTCTGCTGTACCGGCGGCTCACGGGACCTTGTCTCCGCTGAGCGCAGGCGGTCTGTCAGCCCCCTCCTCCGTGCTGTACCGGCGGCCCGCGGGACCCTGTCTCCGCTGGGCGCAGGCGGTCTGTCAGCCCCCTCCTCTGTGCTTTACCGGTGGCCCGCGGGTTTCCGCTGGTCTCAGGTGATCTGTCAGCCCCTCCTCAGCGTTGTATCGGCGTCCCGCAGTACCCCCTCTCCACTGGTCACAGGCGGTTTGTCAGTCCGTTCCCCCGCGTTGAACCGGCGGCTTGCAGGATCCTGTCTCCGCTAGTCACAGGCGGTTTGTCAGCCCGCTCCTCCGCGTTGTACGGGAGGCTTGCAGGCTCCTGTCTCCGCTGGTCACAGGCGGTTTGTCAGCCTGCTCCTCCGCGTTGTACCGGCGGTCTGCAGGACCCTGTCTCCGCTGGTCGCAGACGGTCTGTCAGCCCGCTCCTCCACGTTATACCAGCTGTGGACCGGAGCGTTCGTTTATATTGTATCGACGCATTGACGGCAGGGGGAGGGGGGGGGGGAGCTTGTCCCGGTGGTGTTGGCAGCTTGACAAGCGCGGCGCTGCCCCGTCGGCCTGCGCTTCGGTGACGGGGTCAATGTCTCTCCGACTAATGGTCCGCTGATCGATCGCCATCCTGAGGACGGCCGAGCGGCTGAACAGACCGACCTTTTCCTCACCGCATCCTGAGGACGGCCGAGCGGCTGAACACACCGACCTTTTCCTCACCGCATCCTGAGGACGGCCGAGCGGCTGAACACACCGACCTTTTCCTCACCGCATCCTGAGGACGGCCGAGCGGCTGAGCATTCCGGCCACTTCCTCACCGCATCCTGAAGACGGCCGAACGGCCAAATAAACCGACCACTTCCTCACCGCATCCTGAAGACGGCCGAACGGCCAAATAAACCGACCACTTCCTCACCGCACCCTGAAGACGACCGAGCGGCCGAACAAACCGACCACTTCCTCAACGCACCCTGAAGACGGCCGAACGGCCAAACAAACCGACCACCTCCTCACCTCATCCTGAGGACGGCCGAGCGGCCGAACAAACCGACTACTTCCTCACCGCATCCTGAAGACGGCCGAACGGCCAAACAAACTGACCACTTCCTCACCTCATCCTGAGGACGGCCGAGCGGCTGAACAACCGAACACCTCACCGCATCCTGAGGACGGACCAGCGGCCGAACAAACTAAACACTTCCTCACCGCATCCTGAGGACGGCCCAGCGGCTGAACAAACCGACCATCCCCTCACCGTATTCTGAGGACGGACCAGCGGCCGAACAAGCCTAACACCTCCTCACCGCATCCTGAGGACAGCCCAGCGGCCGAACAAACCGACCATCTCCTCACGGTACTCTAAGGACGGACCAGCGGCCGAACAACCGAACACCTCCTCACCGCATCCTGAGGACGCCCCAGAGAGCTAAAAAAACGAACACCTCACCGCATCCTGAGGACGCCCCAGCGGGTGAAAACCCCGACCACCTCCTCACCGCATCCTGAGGACGCCCCAGCGGGTGAAAACCCGACCACCTCCTCACGGCTACCTTCCGCACATGAATTGTACCGCGCTGGTGAATTTGATGGCAGCATAGCACCTGAACGCTTGTTGATTGTGTGTTGTCCCTGCAATTTATTATACATTATATAAGTGTTAATGTTAACCCTTTATGTATTTGAAGATGGGTGTTGTTTTGATGGAATTTTTGGTTTCTGAGGTTCATTAAACCTATGGCTTTAAATTCAAAATAACTTTTAATTTCCGTTATTGCGGAAATTCAAGCGTACGTACGTTCCTCAAACTTCACTCAAACTCAAACCCATGTATATGTTGCAAGGCTTCACGTAGCACTAGACGTTTACGCCAACTTGAACTGGCTTTTGTTAACTGTAGCGATCGCAGACAAGTTGGAAAGATATCTTAACTACATGCCACATACGTTTTACATATATAGCGTACCTTTTGTGAGAAAAGTTGCTATAGAAACTTGTGGCCAGGTGTTCTCAGGCCGGTATTGACTGGCAATTATGTTTATGGATCATTTAATGGCTCCTCAGTCAGATTTTACGATACCGTTCGATAAAGAACCAGTTGCAAAAATATATAACCGCGGTGTAATGTGCGCCTCGGAGATTCCACTTACGGGGTACCCAGGTGAACACCAAAGCACGAACAGTCACTGGGGTGTTAGCTCGTAGTCTTGCTCCTCCCAAAATTATACGGTAATGCTTTTCTTGCCTGTATCCTATATGTCCACCTGGCAGACCGACCATGACGGTTTAAAATAAAATCAACAGCCTTCGGCCTCACGACTCATAAGACCGTTTAGCTGACCTCAAGGTCTCCGATGACGCTGCAGGTCACGTCAAACTGTAACATTGTGATGAATCTGTGAGCACTTGTGATTTGTGAGCGGCAGATCATTTTGAGTGCTCTGAGTCATAAATCACACGTATGTGTTACGCCATGTTGCAGAAACGAATCGCGTCTGGATGAATGACCTTAGGTCACTGTAGCCCATGCCGAAAAGAAGGCAAATCGTTCGATAGACCAGCATAAAGTGTCACTTATGATGAGTGGTGCGCATTTTACCAAAGTGCCAATATCGTCATTGTTTTCAAACTATCTCCTTGTCATTGCTCAGGTCAGGGACCATGCTAAGCCTGGATTTTGATGTTCAGGTTTAGTGGCGCCTCGGCCATGCCGTTCACTCGCATCCATTACCATTGTACATGGTATTCAGATGTTTCAGTGTAATTGACTATCTTTGCGATCTACATGCTCCTGCCGTCACTAATTTGTAATTTGTCAGAAACAAAGTTGATCGGATTTTCTGCAGTAATTGTGCAGTTCTTGCTAAAAATAGTTTCTTACGAAGGGAGTAATCCCAACACTCCAAGATACCAATGCCACTTTCAGCGACGACTTGAGTCGGTAGCTTTAACGCGGCGCTTAATGCCGTGCCATGGCCGCTCCCCACCTCAGCTTGACTCTCTACAAGCCGTTGTCAACTTATCAGCGTAGAAAACTTGACTGAGCTCGGTCTCTTGTACTTAGCCTGCACGCCTTTGCTGTTGTTGCTACAGGGGAGCGATTCATTTTTGGACGCGTCCAACATTGTAAAGCCGTCTTTATATTAGCGTTGTGGAAGCAACACGCATTTCATAACCTATGACGCAATATATGGATAGATAAGACAACCGGGCTGGGAGCATCTTGAAAGATTTACCTTCGCTTAGTTAGTTGTCAACTCTGACCGTCCTGGAACGGTTGATGAAGCACAGTGTCGTTAACGCGAACACGCGCGTCTGGCGCACAGTGGTCAGGTTTTCGACGATGGCGCCTTATCGACTGAGTTTGGTGACGGCTGGAATCATTAAGGTTACTGAGTGCAGGCGTGCGGTCGACTCCGGCTCGAGTCGACTGAGTTTGGTGCCGGCCGGAATCACCAAGGTTGCCGAGTGCAGGTCTGCGGTCGGCTCCGGCTCGAATCGCAGTTGTGTCCAGAATCACCGTAAGTTCGGAATCACTGGACGTCAGTCGCATTAGTTGGAATTGACCCCCAACAAAAATGCTTGAGTCGGATTTAGAGTTCAGTAAGTTATGTAGGCTAAAACCATCACTAAATCAGCTCATGGACCTTGAGATAAGAAAGGAAGGCCACCAGCTCGAGGTTTTTCGTCATCATGAGTTAAAAGCGCTTACGTTAAGTCTACACGCGGCGAGGGGGAGCAATTTGCTATGTGAAGGTTTTTGCAGAATAACTTCCGAACGGCGCCATACGGCCGCGCCAAACTATGCCTAACTGTAGGCAATTTAATAGCAGATATTTTGTCTTCAAAAATTGGATATACCTTGTAAGGTCAGTGACATGGCAGGCTAACGTCAGACAGTGGCTGTCAGCGAAGGCAATTTTAGCAGTGGCTCAATGTAGTGCGACAACGGAATGTTAGATATCTGAGATGATTTCTGATGCCAAAAAGAAATATTTGAATTTAGAATTACCGCACATTTAACTGATCTGGAGTCAGGATGAAGATTATGCCGAGGTCAAAACTAACCTATTGTTTACTGGAAAGCTTGCTTTGTGGAGTAGTTTCTGATGTTCGTTTATAAGTTTTTGATAACAGGGACCGCAACAGACATCTTCATTGACCTGCTTGAAGTTCGGAGTAGGTCACTGACCTAAAAAAACCCAGATCAACCTTTCGCTTTTGAGAACGTACCGTCTAACGTAGAAAAGTGAAAACAATCTGGTGGGTTTTTCGTCAACATGACCTTCTAAGCGCAAACAAGGTCGCCAATCTAAAATAAGCACCACCGACTTTTGCTTTAACCAGTTATCTAGGGCTCAGCAAGAGGTTTAAAGCAGTTGTATGAGGAGGTATGGGAGCACCTTGAAGACCAACATTGAGTTTGACCTTATTCGACATTGTTTGACTCAAAGGTAATAATCTATGCATCTCATTTTTTTTTTACAAAAGTGAGTTCATATGCAGAGCAATTTATTCTGTGAATATGGTATATATAGACCCCAGTTGTTTGTTTCGAGGGATCAAATTAACCCCCCACCCGAGCGAGTAGCATTGAACCGGCCACCCGGGCGCGTGTGAACGGTCTTCAATATACCGGAAGACACTGTTTAAACAACATCGTATATAGTGCTAAATCACGGTTATATTGACAGTTTCCAATATTTTGAGCTGTGCTCATCACCAAGAGTGACTATGTCACTCTGACTGTCGTTGACTATGCCTTTGAATATGACCATATGTCTGGTATGTCAGCGGCCACAGTAAGAAATATTGAGTAGAGTCAATATCATCGTTGTGCAACATTACAAAGTCGCTTCGCCAGTGCCTCTTGGTATATTGAAGGCCGTTGACTAGGTATAAGAGCTTCTAACTAATGATGGCTCGGGGCACATAATTAATCATTCACATGTCGCGGAGTTTCAGGCTGGGAAGCTTATTGCAAATTGGGAAAAAAAAGTTATCAATATCCCGTATTTGCAAACGTCGTTACAACCGAACACAAGAACCCTGTCAGCAGCAAAACCATCACATCGCAAAAAGCAACAAAAAACATTTTCAAATATAGCAACTTTGAACAAAAGTTGCCAAGAGCAGGACTTCATGAAGTGAAAGACTATGACCCAGTTTCGCTGTACGTTGATGGCATTATCCAATTACACTTCCTTTGATGCGTTGCTGGATCAACCATGTGTATTACCAGCGTTCAGTTAGCATTATCAAGCACATTGGCACCTGCAAACCTCCCTTTGATCTCCTTACCTTTAAGGTTTTTGACAAAACACCTGTTGGTGCATTTATTCAAACCGACCAAAATGCAAGGGCTTTGTAGCCAGTTGTGTGTCAGTTTGACCGTTTTTTGTTGTTGTTGAAATGTTGCTCGGTGAACTAATTTACGCCGTCGTTTTTAAGTCAACGTCTTGTTCGGTTGTTTGCTCAAAATGTGCTGTGCACTTATGATGTGTGTAATAGTTTTATTGTTGACTCTGACATTGTATAAGGCTGTTTAGTGATAGTGCCTGACAATGCTGCTGTTCGCTCACCCCCGCTCGCTCGTTCAAGGTGGGCTCACCTCTTGGTCGCCAGCTCAGCGTTTGCTGACCAAATACGAGCAGCAAGGGCTTAACACGCGCTCGGGTGGAGGCCACGTGACCCTCTCCGATAAGGGGTTAACACGCGCTCGGGTGGAGGCCACGTGACCCTCTCCGATAAGGGGTTAACACGCGCTCGGGTGGAGGCCACATGATCTTCTCCGATAAGGGGTTAACACGCGCTCAGGTGGAGGCCACGTGACCCTCTCCGATAAGGGTTTAATACGCGTTCGGGTGGAGGTCACTCGACCCTCCCCCATAAGCTGTTTTTTCTAAGATGACTTTCGAACTGCACGCTAAACTTTTTAACATGTAGGCAGTGGAATATCCCATGCCTGGTGCACAAATGAGTTTGCACATCATAAGTTTGGTCACCTATGACAGGTCAATGTCAGTTCATGGCTGTCGTCGGTGGCAATTCCTAGGGAATCATCAATCCGACGTGACAACGAAACGTTAGACGAATCCATGCATCTTTGAGGTGGTTGCGTAGACAATTAGACAGCTGACTTTAGGATTACGAGCTTTCCCAACACCCTGGGGTCATGTGTAAAGGTCAGACCGAAGTTCAAACCTCACTGCTTTTTTACTGGAGAACCTGCTTTATGGGTAAGCTTATGACGCTTATCCCGAATATCTTGATCACAGGGATGCCAACAGACATCTTATTTTGACTCTTCATGGAGGTCGGAGAAGATCACTTACCTGAAATGACCCCGATCAACCATGTATTTAACAACATATCGCCAAGCGTAATCCTTTACGACCATAAAAATGTAAGCAATTCCGTAGGTGTTTTGATCGCCGTGCCCTTCTGTACGTCAAATAAGTTAACTGACCTGAAATTAACACAAATGATCTTTTGCTTATAAGAAGTATGTAGGTTAAAGGAGAATGTATGAGGAGTTCTGGGGGCACTTCGGACACCGATCTGCAGTGTGACCTCGTTTGACCTTCCTTGACTAGTATGTAATAATCTAGGGACCTCAGCATCTGAGGCAAGTGAGTTCGAACACCGATCACTGATCGAATTAACACCGCTGATCTTTTCCTCATAAGAGGAGAATGTTAAGTTAAAGGACCATGCATGAGAAGGTCTGAGGGCACTTCGGGACACCGATCTGGAGTGTGACCTCGTTTGACCTTACCTGACTATTAGCTAATAACCTAGGGACCTCAGCATCTGAGGCAAGTGAGTTCAAGTACCGACCTATATACTCTGTGAATTTTGTATTTTTAGCTTTTTTGAGATCTGAGCTGGGTCAACTTGACCCCCTCCCCCCTCCCCTCCCACCACCCGAGCGAAGATCATTCAAGCGGCTACCCGGGCGCGTTAAATAACGTGCCCAGGTCACGGGTAAAAAAACTACGACAAAGCTCAACGCTTGAGGTGGACATTGCCAGCTCCGACTCGAACACAAATGTACGCATTGATTGTGGCCTCTGCGACAGCGTCGAGAACTGTTGGATGGGATCACCTCAGCGTGCTGGCACTGGTAACAGTCTGCGATGATCGCCAAGGCACGGCCTTAGGCTTGCACGCCCGCTGAAGACCGGGCTCAGGGCAGCGCACGGCCGCTGAGAAGCGTCCGCTGGTGGGACGTGTCGGAGCCATTCGGCACGCACGTTGGCAGCCGTGTCGTAATGTCGACCGCTCCATCTCAGCTGTTTTTCGGTGTCGCGGGGCGTGACCTGACGCGGCCGGGAAAGCGGCCCTCGTCCACTCGATGGCGGACCTGATTGAGTTAGCATGCGCCGCCGGCCGCTGCGTGGTCGCACGGCCAGGTTGAAATAGGGCCACCCGGCTCGCCCGTGGGTCGATCAGCACCGCAGCGGCGGCGGCGGGTCAGCCGGTGAGACGAGGAAGGGCGGGGTCTGAGAACTCCCTGGCCGCTTCAGGGGTGGTAGGGAGGGACGGGTTCGCCCGAGCAGCGTGGCGAGCGCCGGGACGGCTGTCTGGGGGAGGGTTCCTGACGGCAGGCAGCTTGGACTAGTGCCGGCTTTTTAGTGGATTTCAAAGCGCACTGAAGTTGATTGTTCAGTTCCGCCTGATTTGGTGTGGGGGAAGAGTGGGACTCTGATGAAAAGGATTCCGATCCGCTGCTTCCACGTTTGATTGAACGAACTTCGTTGAATGAAGCACGCAATCGACCGGTGCTGTAAAGAAATGTTGGAGAATAGGAACGCTGTGTAACGGATGACCCCAGCTGACAGCGAACGATTTGTTAAAGATCGCTGAAATGTTGTGCATTTTCGTCCCGCCAGTGGCGAACGAAGCATAGGAAAAGGATCGAATGAGAATCCTACGATGTGCTGTGTTTTATTGAGATGGCAGTGCATAGGTACGTTCAAGTTGAACCGGCGATTTACCATGATGAGGCTTTCTCGTATTATACATTACATCATCTGAGCAAAGCGATGATAACTATGTATATGCAGAGACGGCAAGATCTTCGCAGTCTTGAACTGCAGTAGGCCTTAACCCGGCATTTGCTTGGGGTATTTGCCATTTTCAGGTGCTGGGTTGCGGTTAAGAGGGAGAGGCAACGTTGCTGACCAGGCTGGCTTAAACGGCGGGGACTAATGGATCGCTTGACTCCACCACACTTTGGTCTGCTGACCTGTCGGTCACTGATGACGCCGCTGGTCATGTCAAAGGTCACGACTTGATGATAACCATGCTGTAAATTAATGCAACCGAAATATGTCAATCATGACTTCTGCTAACTGTTAGACGCATACCTATACACTTTTGCAGGCATGTTCGGCTTCAAACTTCTATGTTGAAAATAGCTGGTACGCAACTTACCAGGAGTGCTGATCGAAAGAATATATCAAGTAATCATTTAATTGCTGCATGTAAATGCTCGCCGTTTACAGCAGGACTGAGTGTAACGAGACTGACGATTTATGTTGACGGAACTCGTGCCGCTCGTGTTGATGCTGAGGACGCAGACGCGCCCGTGTGTGTCGGACCAGAGGAGCCGGCACGTCCCCTCCCCCCCCCCCCGCCGCGGTTACTGACCGGCGTGCTCTGGCCGCAGACGCGCCCGTGTGTGTGTCGGGCCAGAAGAGCCGGCACGTCCCCCCCTCCCCTCCTCCCCCGCCGCGGTTACTGACCGGCGTGCTCTGGCCGCAGACGCGCCCGTGTGTGTGTCGGGCCAGAAGAGCCGGTACGGCACGGCCCGGAACGAGGCGGCGCGCGTCACGTGTCAGGTGGAGGCCAGCCCGGCGGATGTCACCTTTAGGTGGCAGTTCAACAGCTCGGCAGAGACGCTCGACCTGCCATTCTCACAGGTTTGTCTGGCAGACGTTTCGTTCAGGTGGCAGTTCAACAGTTCAGCAGGGACGCTCGACCTGCCATTCTCACAGGTCAGTCTGGCGGATGTCATCTTCAGGTGGCAGTTCAACAGTTCAGCAGAGACGCTTGACCTGCCATTCTCACAGGTCAGTCCGTAGCCGGGACGTGCTGACCGTGGCAGAATTGTCGTATTAGCCGTGCCACTCGTGGGAACATCAATGTGTAAATGGCGTTGTGTCGTCTTGGGCGTGGCGTTTACTGTGCTGCATAGGCCGCGCCCCATTCTGCATGCACTTTGGCCGGCCCATTCCCTGTCCAAACGACATTCACAATTCTTGCAGAGGCGGGCGAGCAGGCATGATTAATAGGCAGTAGATTTTGTAACAGGCAAACATGGAGCCTTTTGGACTGTGACCAGTTGTTGAAAAGTGCATGCAACATGTGGTCACGCTCCGCGCTTAATAATATCGGAGCACTCCTGGTATGAATCCTATCATACTAGCCGTGGTGAGTCTAACGTTATTGTATGCAACCGAGTTTAAAGCCCTAGGGCCTCTTCAGCGTGAGAGCATACAGGCAGCAAACAGAAGCTTGTCAACTCCATAACAAATGCAGTCGTGGTCGAGGAATTTTCAAGCGCTTCGATATCTTAGAAAGACCCCATTTTATTTGTTTTCTTTGAAGTGGTGACCGCGTGACATTATGGACGCGACAGAACAAAAAAACAGGTGTAATAATGGAACGAAATAGGTGACCGAGCGGCCGTTACGGCACCATCATTTGACATCGACCTCCATTTGACCTGGCAGGTGCAGCCGTTTCCAACTACGCGCCGTGTTGACTCAGCTGTATCCCACTCTAAGTGACTAAGTCCCGTTCCGCCAAACAACAGAGTGAAAAGACACGGTGCATTAGGCCAGAGACACGCGTCTAGCCGGCAGCCCCGGTGTGACTGCGCAGCAGAGACCAGACCGCTCTCGTTCACCAGATTGCATCGCGAGGCGTGGAGAGCCGCGCCTCCTACACGCCCAAGACGGAGCTGGACTACGGCACGCTGCTCTGTACGGCGGAAAACGACATCGGTCGCATGGTCAAGCCCTGCGTCTTCAACATTGTGCCCGCAGGTGAGGGGAGATTGGTTGGCTCATTGGATGTCTGGATGACAGCCCTTTCGACCATCAATGATAATTTCAGGGATTTGGGATTAAGGAGAATGGATAACGGTGGGGTTGAGCTGCATGCACCTGGGGAAACGCCGCCGAGCCTTAGCCCATGCAGGGACCCCTACGTGGGCATGCGGCGAACGTCCGGTCGGGTTCGCTCTTTAGGGGGCCTCTGGGCCCACTCGTGGCTGGTGCATGCAGCTTGCCCCGGACAAGCAGCCTGTCCGGGCAAGCAGCATGTTGCGAGGATGTAGCATGAAGCAAAGATAAGCGGATAAGAGGGTCGGATCGGTGAGATGAAGCGAGCACACTGCTCCCAGGCCTCTCTAGGGCAGTAATAAAAATATTGTGAACTAATATTTCCAGAATATATTTGTTAGACATGTATTTCAGTATTTAAGTGCCGTAAATGTTTTCGATTAATTTGTAAATTTACTTAAGTCTTTTGAAACACATAAACAATATCCATCTTCTTTTGAAACACCTTGGAATGCTTTAAGTATTGCATGACTTTTGGCAAATGCCTTTCAAAACTTGTGTTGAATTCTTGTCTCAAAATTTTCAAACAAATACCTCGCAAATCTTTTAAATAAACTTCTGGCTAAAAGCTTCCTTTCATGAACAAATCCAGTCAGTATACTGAAACATGCCACACGGTCGTCACTAGTTTTGCGGCCTTGCCGCGCGCCTCGGCTCGATCTCACTCGGTTTTGTGCGGGCATCGTTTCAACACTGTCTTCCATGCCATGTGTGACTGCGCCGGCCACGGCTGCCTATCACATGCACCTCACGTGCCGCTGGTGATGGAGAGCCGTTCCCGGGGCCTGATGAGATTCGGTCGGGCAGTTTGTCACCCCATTTGTCTGCTGGCGTGTCGATCGACGAAGAGCGGTTAACACCAGGAGATTTATCGCAGAAATGCGTCCGGTGAGCTCTCAGCTTTCATGGCGTGGCTCGGAATAGCTCCGTGTTGTCCGAAGCCGTGTGGGATTGAGACAGCCGGCGGCGGCTCTAAGCACCACCGCCGACCTGCTGGCCAGGTCCTCCGGAGCCGCTGCGGAACTGCACCGTCATCAACCAGACGTCCGACTCGCTGGAGGTGAAGTGTGCGGCCGGCTTTGACGGCGGTCTGCCGCAGTACTTCGTGGCCGAGCTGTTTGACGTGGCTGGCCGGCGGCTGGTACGCAACCTCACCCGGCCCTTCCCCCACTTCGCGGTGCTGGAGCTGCCGCCGGGGCTGGAGCTGCGGCTCGAGCTGTACGCGGCCAACAGCCGCGGACGCAGCCGAGCCATCACGCTGGACGGCTTCACGCTTAAGGCGGCCGAGAAGCGCATCAGCAGCAGCACGGGTCAGTCTCGCACTCTCTCACTGCTTGCAACAACATTGCCAGTTTCATTGCTTGAACACGACGTACATCCTCGGTGCATTTTATTAGCATTTCACAGCAGCGTGTCTGACATTTTCACATAAGAAAATTTCCCCTCGCGGGGAAGTTGTCTTATGTTACTGTCCATCATCTCTGCCATGGGCCGCAGGCCGGAGCGGTGTGCCGTAGGCAGGAGCGGTGTGTTGTAGGCCGGAGCGGTGTGTTGTGGGCCGGAGAGGCATGGTGTGGGCGGGAGCGGCGTGTCGTAGGCCGGAGCGGCGTGTCGTAGGCCAGAGCGGCGTGCCGTAGGCCGGAGCGGTGTGTTGTAGGCCGAAGCGGTGTGTCGTAGGCCAGAGCGGTGTGTTGTAGGCCGGAGTGGTGTGTTGTAGGCCGGAGCGGCGTGCCGCAGGCCGGAGCGGTGTATCGTAGGCTGGAGCTACGTTTTGTAGGCCGGGGCGGTGTGTTGTAGGCTGGAGCGGCATGGTGTGCGCGAGAGCGGTGTGCTGTAGGCCAGAGCGGTGTGTTGTAGGCCGGAACAGTGTGCTGTAGGCCAGAGCGGTGTATCGTAGGCCGAAGCTGCGTTTTGTAGGCCGGAGCGGCGTGCCGTAGGCGGGAGCGGCGTGCCGTAGGCGGGAGTGGCGTGCCGTAGGCGGGAGCGGCGTGTCGTAGGCCGGAGCGGCATGTCGTAGGCCGGAGCGGCGTGCCATAGGCCGGAGCGACGGGACCTGCACCAGGACGCTAGATGGATCCCACGCCGTCAGACGCCGGCCGACTACTGGCGCCGTGATAAGCTTCTAACGTAGGCGATGGTGTCACGGTCTGTTTGTCCGCCAGCTGACGCGCCGCCCGCTGAGAAGCTCTCGGTGACGCCGATCCTGGGGGTTCTGATCGGCGTCGTCGCCTCCCTCATCATCATCGCCATCGGTGTGGTCGCTTGCATGAGGAACCACAGGTACAGGCTGCTGACTCCGCCGCCGCCTTAAAGCTGCCGGATTTTCGCCACAACATTGGTTTGCTACGCTAGAGGAAATGTGGCATTGACTTCTGAACGATTCCAAACGAAGTCTTTGATCAGATGTCAACGGTGCATTTATTTCCAACCCGCCCACAATGGCTTCGGTTCGCTCGCTGCTGTATGCGGCATTGTGGCAGGTCTAAATATAATCGAATACCTACGCCCACGCCTACCAAACAGCTTCTCCAAGACATTAGTCGACGGCTGGGCCCAAAGCACCGGCCGGAGCCCTGCTCCCCCTCCCCCTCCCCCTCCCCCCTCCGTCTCATCTCTCGCCTGGGATTGTCGGCAGCCGTCGCGTCCCGAGGCCGGTGAAGCATGCCGACCTGGTCAACTCGTCGCTGATGATCAAGGACCGAGCGGGAGCCGACGCCGATTTCGCCGAGGCCGGGTTGCGCGTGGCCGCCAAACTGAGCGGTGCCGACGAGGCAAACCCAGACGTCGTTCCCAGCAAATACGGTGAGCGGAGCAGAGACGTCCGCGAAAGCGCCGGCAGGGGATGGCTGGGATCTATGGACGTGAGATATGCTCCTCCTTGGGGAAACTGCGGTGGGTTTTGCAGCGCAATTTGCTTAGACTCATCCTTCTTAGACTCATCCTTCTTAGACTCATCCTTCATAGACTCATCCTTCTTAGACTCATCCTTCTTAGACTCATCCTTCTTAGACTCATCCTTCTTGTTTGCCTTACTCAGTCAACTTATAACCAATTTTCCAATGTGATTTAAATGGACTCTTCCTATTTGTGTAGATTTTGTAAGGCAAACAAACCCAGGATGCTCGCCTGGGCATGATGTGCTTTTTATCTTGGTTCTTTTGACGATGCATTCGACATTGTTATTAAGAACCAAATTGCTGTGATGCTGACATGTCACTTTCCATTATACAAAACAACTCACCTCTTGTTGTCAAAGCAAACCTCGCTCAGTTTTCCGCAAGCATGAAATTGTTTAGTCTGGGTCAAATGCTTTCAGCCTTGGAAGAAAAATATTTGTATTCATAGCACCCGTGAGCTAGGGCAAGCAAGATGCGGCAGCGTCTTAATGCGTGGGCCACGCATTCGCTCTGAGTTGGTGTGAACGTATGCTGGTAACAGAGCTCATTGTAGGGAACTGAAGTTGTGGAACGCGGTGAGGGAAGACTGGATGCCGTCTTTTTGTCCAAAACGAACGTTGCATGTGAATGTGAAGATTCCGGCAATAGTGTCAGCGTACTCCTAATTCGGTCTGATCTAAGTGGACGAACCTGGTACGCGTTAGTCTATGCATCACCCTAGATAACGAATGAGTGCTGCTATTAAACAGCGTGCTTACAACCGGACCAGCCGTGGCTTCGGTTTCTCGCGACAGCCGGTGGGGGAGGATTGGGGGGCAATGACCACTAAAGAATTACATGCGTTTTCAAATAAACCATACCTGCGTTGTCATGGGGCGACACGTTAAGATGTTTCATTCCTCCCCAGCTTTATCTTCCGTAACACTGTACACTCGCCTCCAGGCCCGGACCACGAGGTGGTCGAATCAACACGATTGCTGAACCACGTGCATGTGAGCGCCCGGGGCAGTCGGCTGTCACTGGGCTCCTGCTCGGCGCAGAGCGAAGGCAAACGCTGCATACACCAGGTACGGTGCGCCAGAGGAGTCCCAGACCACCGCGGTTCAGGATCAGACGAGCGCGGGCGGTCTACACCGCCGCAGTTCAGGATCAGATGAGTGCAGACGGCCTAGACCGCCGCGGCTCAGGATCAGACGAGCGCGGGCGGTCTACACCGCCGCAGTTCCGGATCAGATGAGTGCAGACGGCCTAGACCGCCGCGGCTCAGGATCGGACGAGCACAGGCGGTGTTGGCCGCCGCGGCTCAGAATCAGACGAGCGCAGACGGCCTAGGCCGCCGCGGCTCAGGATCAGACGAGCGCAGACGGTCTAGCCCGCGGCGGCTCAGGATCAGACGAGCGCAGACGGCCTAGGCCGCCGCGGCCCAGAATCAGACGAGCGCGAGCGGTCTACACCGCCGCAGTTCAAGATCAGACGAGTGCAGACAGCCTAGGCCGCCGCGGCTCAGGATCAGACGAGCACAGGCGGTCTAGACCGCCGCGGCTCAAAATCAGACGAGCGCAGACGGCCTAGGCCGCCGCGGGTCAGGATCAGACGAGCACAGGCGGCCTAGGCCGCCGCGGCTCAGAATCAGACGAGCGCAGACGGCCTGGGCCGCCGTGGTTCAAGACCAGACGAGCGCAGACGGTCTAGTCCGCGGCGGCTCAGAATCAGACGAGCACAGACGGCCTAGGCCGCCGTGGTTCAAGACCAGACGAGCGCAGACGGTCTAGTCCGCGGCGGCTCAAAATCAGACGAGCGCAGACGGCCTAGGCCGCCGTGGTTCAAGACCAGACGAGCGCAGACGGTCTAGCCCGCGGCGGCTCAGAATCAGACGAGCGCGGGCCACGCCAGGTGCAGTACCGACGAAGAACCGCACTCAAGGTGCTGTGATCCGACAATGCGCTGAGAACTGCACCACAGCTAGCTTAATCTGGGTAATCGGGGTAGCTTACTACTGCATTCACAGTGTGTAGACCAACCACCTTACCGCAGTAGCAGACAAGTTGCAAAGGCACAGTTTACCATGGGCCGCGTACGCGAGACAAAATTTGCACAGCGGCCATTCGCCACCAGTGCTTGTTCGGGTGCCGTAGCCAGTGAAGGCGTGCACACGATTCGGCCCCACATGAAAGGCTTGGGTGGGATGCCGTGCACACAGAAACCACAACACAGGCTAGCAACGCCGAACCTCGTCCATCTTACGCATGCAAACGCGTGCAAGTTTTAGGAAGCTTATTATCCCACGCTGGGTACAAAAATAAAAGCCAGAAATGCAAGCTGCACACAACACGTTTACGCATGATATCATGATGTATTTGTTCGGTGTCGCCCCAATGCAAAAGCGCCGGTCTTTAGGCCATTTACGGCATTTCGTGGAGTCCCATTTGTGTGCTGACTGGTGCGCCGCTGGACACGGATTGACCTTTTGTTTAACTTTTCATCCTGTGACGACCTTTCAGGCTTGCACCGCCGTCTGGTGCGTCTTCTTTCCAAACTACGCACGTACTTGGCTTGTGACCTCTTATTTCGGAAAATGTTTAGTTCTGAAGAGACCGCTGGAGCTATTTTGATCACAGACTGCTAACATCGTTAGATTGGCTCCAGGCTGGAGTTATGGAGTCACTCGACTGTATTTCTGAACATTCCCTAATCTGCCAGCGTGTCACGACGCCTGTTCCGGAATCCATTAAATCCCAATCCACCAAACCGTTTGTGATTTGATACTGTTTTGCAATCTATAATTCGTAGAATCATGACCAGAATTGCAGCCTCTTTCTCAGCAACCCCCCCCCCACATCAAAAATCAAAAAAATACGGAGCACCAAGATGTCCAGCCTGTACCACTGCACGCTACAACTAACCTCACGCCGCTTCGGCGCCGTGTTTAACCGATGGCGCGCGGGCCGGCAGGGGGACAGCGTCACGTACGCGGAGCTCAGCCTGCCGCGGCCGGGCAAGACCTCGAGGTCGGTCAGAGGGCGTGACCCCGGGACGGCCGTGGTCTACGCCACGATAGACCACGGCAGGACGCCGGGCCGGGCGCGGGACACAGTGGTGCGGACTGGCGAGCCTTCGGACCAGCGCGAGAGTGTGGTGTGACAGTGCGGCGCACAGTGGCGCGGGCCGCCCGCATTGCTGGCCAACGGGCATCAGGTGCGCGGCGGTGCAGCGCACAGTGATGCAGCCGGGGACGTTTTCTGGCTAAGACAACGCGATGCGGCCTGATGTGAATATCCTAGCCACTGGACTATGCGTGTTGTGATATGCTCGTCCAGGTGTTTGGTGTACCCTGGCTGTTTGGCGATGGGCTGGATGAGGGCTCCGCTGGTTGTCTATATGTGTCTATGTGCGAACACATCCGGAATGATGACGCGACAAAGCTGGCCACGCCACTCAGGAAACGAATCCTCTCGAAGCATTCAAGCAGCCACAGTCATATCGTGGCTGCAAAACAGAGGCTGTCTGAAGGCTTCTTTGGGCAGTGGTGTCAAGTTAAGAAATTCTTTGTTGCTCTGTGGCTTTGGGCTGTATGTCTGGAATGTCAGCAGTGTCATTTCGGACAGCTGTTATTGGACAGCATTTTCCCGGCCTACGTATTTTGAGAACTATCACGATATGCTTAACCTTGTATGCTTGTCATCGCCATAGTCAGTCTAGTCAAGTTTGTTGCCCTGAACAGGCTACAACGTCGTCAGGGTCTGAAGTTTCTGCAGGTTTTGACGTCGAATATTGTTGTAATAAACAGCGGCTACGAACAAGAAGGTAGGGCCCTTGGTTCAGATTTTATTTTTTGCGGATGTGAAAAGGTCTTACAAGAAGGATACACTACGTCGGCAGCGTATTGAGCGAGGTGCGCTGGACACTTATGTACACGATGTTCATCCAGATTCATGTGTAAATGGCGTTGACACCATTACCAGTGTTCGAGATGTGCGTTCGAACAGACCGCACATTGTAATGGTCGGGAACATTGTGCCAGATTCTGATGGCAAATGTCCCCCCAATCAGCGATTTGAGTACCAGCCCTTGGGGTAACAGCCTTGGATGATTGTTCCTTCGAAGGAGACTGAACTGTGGTATTATTTTCATAGCGCTCCGATCCCGTACTTGGTACATTGTGCACGCAAGAGGCATATCACCCTCCATGTCCGCTCTTCCGTGTTGATGTGGCGACACAGAAATATACCTGGCATCGTAATTAATAGTGTCCTGAATTGTTCAGCAGCCCGTGATGCCTGTTAGCTGCTGATTCGTGGTGCGACGCGTGCCAGTAGATCGAGGGTGTGGGCTTTGCAGCCGGGCAACACAGGCGCTTACAAAGTCCCAGCTAGGCGAAACCGAAAGCTCTCCAGTTTTCTTCGCTGGAGGCTCAACTCAACTATCACGCGCCCGGGTGGCCGGCTAGATACCCTTCGCTCGGGTGGGTGGTGGGTTAATTTGCTTGAGGTCACTGGGTCATGACCTTTGCGTCGAATAGGTCAAACAAGGTAAGATTCCAGGTTGTTTTCCAAAGTATCCCCGGAACCTAGATAACTGCTTCTGAGCAAAGGGTCACAAGCTGATTTAAGGTCAGTGACCTTGCTTGACCTTTTGGAGGTCATGGTGACCAAAATCATACAAGTCTGCCCTGAGTTTTGCATTTGAATGAGCGACAAAGATTACGCTAGGCAGTATGCTCCTAAAAATGTCGACCTGGGTCATCTTAGGTCAATGACCTATTCTGACCTCTAAGAAGTCAATGGAAGATGTATGATGCGGTTCCTGCTATCAATGAATTCAAAATGAGAACCGGAAACGACCCCATACAGCAAGCCCTAGAGCAATAACACAGGCTGGCTTTGACCTTGGTCTGACCTTCATACCTGACGTTAGGTCAACGTAATCTGCTCACTCAATGTTTGTGTTGCCTAATAAAGCATCTCAAAGATGTATAGGTTTGTCAAACACTCCGTTGTTGCATTAGGTTGAACGATTCCCTAGAAATTGACTTCGGTGAAACCATGGCCTGACTTTGACCTGCCATAGGTCAGTGACCTTAGAAGGTGCATTTAAATCTCTTACACCAAACGATCCTCTAGTCAGTTGTCAACAATATGCAAAATTTGGCTCAGCTACTCCGCGCCGTTCGGAAATCATTCTGGAAAAACCTCCGAGAGGGGGGTCAGTTTGACCCCCATCCGGGCGCGTGCTATGTGTAGGTTGTCCATCAACCCTCGCCATTCCAGCGTTTCGTAGCCTACGCCCTAATGCAGGGTTCAGAGGCCATCACTAAGATCTCAACAACTGAGCATGCCAGAGCCACGGGGAAAAAACGCGTCTGAAAGCTCTTGTCAAACTGTTTTAGATAGGTGCGGCTGATCAGTGGTTCATGTGGCCTTCGACAGGTCGAACCAGGTGAATTAGGCTCATTTAACACTTTATCTTCCCCTTATGTTATCTCAGGGGCTGAACATTCTACGACAATGTGGATGACGCTTTTGAATTGGTCTGCGCAGCCTCAGATAAACACTTGCATAAGACTTTAATAATAGCCTTATTCCTCGGAGAAAAAAACAGGGGAATAAAGATAGGGTTGGGTTGATATTTCGTGAACATGTCTTTATCGAAACAATAGCAGAAGTACATTCAAAATTGCCTGCCGATTATCACACTCGATATTAAGTTGTTTTTTTTTAAACAGCAAACCACAGTTTTTATAGAACACCAACCTGAATGGACACTGGACACTACCTCGAGTTCACTTCTGTTACTGTTTCTACATTAAAGGGACTAAACAAAGAGCGATTGCCAGCCATTGCCACGATACAGTGCCTATCTAAGAATTAGAACACGCAAACATACGTGTACATTCAAACGAGTTCATGCAAATAGGCTTCACGCATTATGTCTCATTCAAGCACGCAAACGATTCGAAGTAAACAGGGATCACGCATCGCGCATCAGTTATACATGTAAGCGATTTCAAGTGAACAGGCATCGCACATCACGCGTCGGGCATCACTTGCACATGTAAACTATTCTAAGCCAGCACACATCACACATAAAGACACATATCACGTTCGCATAATCAGCCATGAAGAGCCCTGTATGTCAAGATTTGGTCGCCGACTTTGTATGAGAATAGATTCACTCATTTTCCTGTCTGGATGGTCCTGTGCTCTGTAGATGACTGAACTCTGAAAGGGGATAGGGACCACACCTCCCTCAATTTCAGCCTGAGCGTGTTTTGCCAAAAACTGGTCAGCAAAAGGGGTATTCCCTGTTTTGTTTTGGCGTCTCGCAGGTGTTCATTATATCTCAAACGAATAGGGCGCGTGAACTCCCCGACATAGACTATGTCCCTCCTATGCTTTTCACATAGTTTACAATTGATTTTGTAAGCCATGCTTTTTTTCTAATGCCATCCGGGCTCTTAGGCTTCAATGTAGAAGATTTCATCAGATACTTTTTTAGCTTATTGTCACACGCTCAGGCCGAAATCGAGGGAGGTACGTACCCTATACCTCTTTTAGAGTTCAAAGTTATCTACGGAGCACAGCACCACCCAGACAAGAAAATAAGTGAACCTATTCTTATACAGAGTCGGCGACCAAATTTTAACAAACAGGGCTCATCATGGCCAATTATGCGAACGTGATATTTGTCTTTATGTATCATGTGTGCTAGCTTAAATCGTTTACACGTGTAAGTGACGCCTGACGCGTGATGTGCGATGCCTGTTCAATTGAAACCGCTTGCATGTATAATTAATGCGTGATGTGTGATGACTGTTCACTTCAACTCGCTTGTATGTTTGAATGAAGCGTGATGCGTGATACCTATGTGCTTGAATTCTTTAGAATGTACAGGTATGTTCGTGTATTCTTATTCTTACATAAGCGCTATATCGTGGTAATGGCTGGCAATTGTTCTTTGCTTAATGCCCTGAATGTTCTCCTGTAAAAACTGTGACTTGCTGTTAAAGTCACATCACTGAGAAGAACAGGGCTAAAAATGGCTTCCAAAGCCGTAGGAGACGTTCAGAGCATTATAGTGGCACAGTGTTGGGTAATGCTACAAGTATGTCACATCTTGCCCTATTTTCTACGAGTTTGTGATGCGTAGTCCATAGGTTCCAGGTCCTTAGGTGAAACATATGATGTGCTGTTCGTAAACACAGCGGCAAAAAGTATCTTTTCTGTCATCGACGAAATTTGGAATCGTCTAAATTGTCACGTGGAGCCAAATTTTTCAGAAACCATTGCAATATAACTCCACTTACGATAAACCACAAAAACAAAGGCGAATCATATAAAATGTGGCATATTCACGAAACATTTTCACTGTGGGAGTTTATTTGTACCAAAGTATCATTTGCCCGCCATCAAACACTGAATGATGGTTGAGACTGAACTAATAAAATCATCAGATGAAGACATAGTTAGCATAACCAACCTAGAGGCGTTTAATTTCCTTTTTAGTTGAGCTGAGGGAATTGTGCATTCTAACCAGTGAGGAATTTTCATATTTTTAGTTAGCATTTGTATCCATTATGTTTTGGGGTCTTATGCCTCCTAACCAGTGATGGAGTTTCCTATTTTTACTTGGCATTTTTATCCATTATGTTTAACTTTTCATAATTTTTGGGCTCAGCCCCCGTAAACTATTTTTGAGAAACTACACCACTGCTCCCAACCGTGAAAGAAAGCGCGTCAAATCTGGGGAGAAACATGACTTAAGTACAATTCGGCGATAGGCTAAGCCATTTTTTCTTCTGCACCCACTGCCCTACCTCTCTTACCTATACGTATTTTGAAAAGCTGCATCCCTGAGGCTGCATTTGCCGATGACATGGTTCTCCAAGAACCTGAAGATAATATTACTTTTGGTGTTGTGACGTCATTGTGCAATCAGCTGGAAGCGTTGGTGACCTTCCCTACCTTTGCACAATCGTTTCCAGTGCAGAACTCGCCCTTCCCAATTTGATCCAGCTATTTAGAGCGAAGCCCATGCAATATTGGTATCAACAGATGCAAACAACGTTTTTGAACCTCTCAACACCTTTATTTAGCTTTATATGCAATATGGTGAAAATTAAAAGCGTTTTATCTCATGCGTGCCTACTGATCAGTACGCTAACTCTGAGTTGCAAGGACAATGTGAGAGGTCTACACCAGCGATGCTCGGCCTTTTACCTCAAAGCCGCTGTTCCTCTCAGCAGCAGGAAGCCCCGTATGAATCCTTGGCATGTGTCGCCCCAACGTCCTTTTACCTCCGCAGTTACACCTCAGGTATCCACAAACTACAATCGTTCTTGATCAGCAAGGCTTTTAACGCTATTACCTTTATAATTACTGAGGATTAGCTACGTTACTCTAGCAAGTTATCTCCTTGCGACATGAACACAACCAACAGTAGCCCACAGCTTTGCGCTGAACCCGCTACATTACCGCGTGGCGAGTGTTCGTACCCATCTGTCTGGAATGGCGCGACGTTTTAAACGCTGCGTAGCAAACTGATCACATTCGTCGCAAGATGCTGCGGCCAGCTACTATTCTTAGGCTAGTAAAAAGCCTAGTTATTTGGTATTTCATACTGCTTAGTAGGTGAAGTGAATATTGGCTGAAAAAAATATGTGAAAAGCACTGATCTAAGGGGCATTGGAAGAGCACTGTCACCAATGATCTGTGATGTCAGCACTGGTACAATATAACTTGTAGTATATCTCTGTCACGTGCTGAAAACTATCCTGATTAAAGCTACTATGTTTGGCAGCATTATTTGACTCAATTTGCTCATATAGCGAAACGTCAACGTTTTCCTTGCGCTCTACACATACTCACGCTGCGAGTGTTAGCAAATACAGACCAATACTAAGCTTTGAGTTTCATCTAGCTGGGATAGTCTGTTGTAATATGTGCTGGTCTGTTGAAATTTGTTTTATTTTCAAATTTGGTCAAGAATTGGCTCGCAAAAGTCTCAGTTTTTGTCACCTACCATATCCTGTAAATCAGAAGCTTTTTCGCTTCTACGTGAACATGTCCATAACAGGTTAACGGACAAATGCTATGGGCAGATATGATATGAACGCCGCCCAAACTCTACTTTAAAAAGTCAGGAACTGGTGCTATATGCGGCGCTGAAATCAGAATTGCGCTTAACACTAAGCAAGGTCCTCATATGACGAAATTGTCGCAGCGCCCGAA